CCATTTTAGAAGTAAGCAAAGGACAACAAATTAGTTCCAGTGCAGAGTTTAAGTGGTGGAAACAGTGAATAATCCAACACAGAACTGAAAGAAAAAACAAAATACGCACAGATCAGAGACAAAGTTTGATATTAACTAGTAAAGGTGTAATGCCACCAAAGAACACCTATAAAACCTAGAAGGACAGTTAGCCCCCTGAGCCCTCAAGCCAGGGGTGGGGAAGAGCTGGAGGCCTCAGCCATGCTCCCTGACACCAACAACCAGCCCAGTGCTGACCATTGAGCCAACACAGGAAACACCCTGGGCTTCCAAGCCAGGGCACTGGGGGGCTGAGTGCTCCAGCCACACCACCCTGACTTCTGCATTCAGCCCAGCAATGACCAAGCCACCAATGGAAGCTCCCTAGTCTCTGCTGCAGGAATGAGAGGGGTGCCACAGGCCTCAACCACCCCCCTTCCTCCTTCTCCCACCCTATTTCCTCCCCCTTCCCACCCAACTGCTCTACAACAACAACTTAGAACATAAAAACAGATGGAGCTGGGGACCGACTCCTCCTCCTGCAACCAGGCATGCTGCCACTGCCACGGAGCCCACCTGGGGTCCTGAGGTATGGAGCCAGGGACCTGCCCCTCCTCCCACAACCAGGCATGCTGCTGCTGTTGCCACAGGGCCTGCCCAGGGTCCTGAAGCATGGATTTGGGGACCGACCCCTCCTCCCACATCCAGGCACGCCGCTTCTGCCATAGGGCCCACCCAGGGTCCTGAGACATGGAACTGGGGACCAACCCCACTCTTGCAACCAGGCAAGGAGCATGCCCAAAACACCACATCCATGTCAGGGCCCACTACAGCCACCACAATAGCCACTGCTGCTGCAAAAGAAGCTAGACACCACAACCACCATGCAGATTGCCTGTCAGCCACTGGAATGCATTGACACAAGGAGAGTCTCCAGCAGAGACCAAAGAAAAGAATAGGATGTCTCTCTCCACAAAGCCCATTCCAGAGTGATAGAAGAAGCACCTGCTTTATGATAATAATGGGGGACCTGATCAGAGACAAAGTTTGATATTAACTAGTAAAGGTCTAATGCCACCAAAGAACACCTATAAAACCTAGAAGTTCCCCTGAACACACCTCTCAGCATTGGACAGATCATCTAGGCAACAAATCAACAGAGTAACTGTTACTCTTTCAGAAGGAATCTAGGGTTATCAGAGGTGGGAGGGGGAAGGGGAGGAGGATGGGGAGAGATTGGATAAGGGTCATAAAGAATAAGTACAATTTTGTAATAATATATATGCTAATAATATTGATTTGATCAACATACGTTAACATTGAACCCCCAAAATATGTATAACCAATTATGATTCAAAAAAAAAAAATGAATTAAAGACTTAAACATAAGACCTAAAACTGTAAAATTACTAAAAGAAAATATGTCAAGTAATCTCTTTGACATTGATCTCAACAATGATTTCTTGGACATACCCCAAAAGAACAGGCAACAAAAGCAAAAATAGACAAATGAGATTGCAGCAAACTAAAAAGCTTCTGCACAGCAAAGGAAACAATGAAGAGAGTGAAGAGACAACCCATGTATTGGGAGAAAATATTTGCAAATCATATATCTGATAAGTGGCTAATATCCAAAATTTATAAGGGAAAAAACTACTCAATAAAAAATTAAAAATAAAAATAAGAAAAAATAAATCAAGGACTCGAATAGATATTTCTCAAAAGAAAACATACAGATGGCCAACAGATGTATGAAAAAAATGCACAGCATCACTAATCATCAGAAAAATGCAAATCAAAAACCACAGTTTGATATTATCTCAAACCTGTTAGAATGAATATTATCAAAAAGTTGAAAGATAAGTATTGTCAAAGATGTGGGGTTAAGGGAATCCTCACACCCTGTTTGTGGGAACGTAAATTAGTATAGTCATTTTAGAAAACAGTACGGAGGTACCTCAAAAAACTAAAAATAGAATGACAATTGTGATCCATCACTCCCACTTCTGGGTATATATCCAGAGAATAAATCAGTATGTTGAAGAGATATCTGCACTCCCATGTTCACTGCAGCATAAATCACAATAGCCAAGATACGGAAACAAACAAAGTGCCATCAACAGATAAACGGTTAAAGAAAATGTGGTATGTTTATATAATGGAATACTATTCAGCCTTAAAAAAGAAGGAAATTCTGTAATTTGTGACAATACAATGGATGAATCCAGACAACATTATAATAAGTGAAATAAGCCAGGCACAGAAAGACAAATACTACATGATCTGACTTATATGTGAAATCTAAAAAAGTTGAAGTCATGGAAGTAGAGAGTAGAATAGTGGTTATGAGGCTGGGAGTAGGGGTGGACCAGGAAAGTGGAGATATTAGATAAAGAATATAAAGTTTCAGTTAGGCAATAAGTTCTAGTGATCCATTGCACAGTATGGTGACTATGATTAATAATAATGCATATTTCAAAATCGCTAAAAGAGTAGATTTTAAATGTTTTTATCACAAAGAAATAAGTATGTGAAGTAATGGATATGTTAATCAGCCTGATTTAGCCTGATGCAACCATTCCACAATGTATACATGTATCATAGAATCATGTGGTACCCCATAAATATATACAATTATTATTTGTCAATTAAAAATTAAATTAAATTTTAAAAAAAGAATAATAATTCCTCAGTTAGCAAGCATATATTAGCCCTTCCATATTTAAATACAGTATAGAGAGCACACTGTTCAGGTAAAGATGAGACCAATGTGAGATAGCTGAAGAACACTGACTTTTTAATAGTTGTTTATTTTAATCTGGGTTTTTTTTGGTAAACTTTTATTTTATGTAAAAACAATTGATACTTAAAAAATATTAAATGCTGGGCCGGCCTGTGGCTCACTTGGGAGAGTGCGGTGCTGATGACACCAAGGCAACGGGTTCGGATCCTATGTAGGGATGGCCGGTTGCTCGCTGGGTGAGCATGGTGCTGACAACACCAAGTCAAGGGTTTAGATCCCCTTACCGGTCATCTTTTTTTTAAAAAAAAAAAATATTAAATGCTAATTCTATAATGGTAAGCTATGAATTAAAGTTAGCATGGAGGTAATACATTCACATTAAAAAAAAATTTTAAACAAAGTCATAATAAGCATTCCTATTGTGTTACTAACATACTCAACATTTGTAACAAATGTAATCTTTAACTGCTAAAGAGATATTTATTACATGGGTGCTATAATACCAACTGTACTAATTTTAGCTCTTAGTGAGAAACACGCAAGAAATATATAACTAAAAAAAAATCACTCTAGTAAATTCAATATTGGCCACTGAAGCACCCAGACTTCTAAGACAATTGATAATCCAACTTTTAGAGTCAATAAGTTTTTAGCGGCACTAAAAAAAGTGAAAAAACAGTTCTTTTTCTGAGTACCTCATTCTAAATTATGACATTTTTAGACTTCGAATCTCTCTTAGTTTACAATATAGAAGAAAATGAAGACCAAATTAATGGCATGAAGCAACATTTTAGATTTTCACCTTAACTAATACGAAACTCTATTTTTGATTTTAAAATAAGAACCAAAAAATTTTTAAATTATATGAAAAACTACATGTTTGTTTTAAATCAAGTATTGAAAGTAAACAGAATATAAAGTTTGTGCACCTAATTAGTATACTTTAAATATCTGTTTAAGGGAATGGTGGTAATATCTCTATCATAGTAACACAACTCTTTTATTTGCAAATGTTTTCTAACTAATGTTCAAATGGAAACTGTTATTTTTCAATTCTTTTAAATATCTATTTCATCTGCCAAACCACTGTGATTCCTTATTAATAAGCAGTAAATAAAAATTCTTCAACCTACAGAGATCAAGTTCATTTTTCTTTGTTACCTTTTTTCTCCAAAGTCCAACATTATGAGGTCATCCCTCAGAGAGCTGGTCTGTTCCTCAACTATTCTCATCCTTTGCTGAAGTACTGTGAATGTTTCAGAAGCTGTAGCATTGATATGGGTTGGAGAGAGGACTGGTTTGGACATTGTGTTTTCCATACGCACCTATGATTAAAGTCATAATATTATTGTGGTAGGTTGTATTATTGTTCAAAATAGTCACTGTCCCTTCCTGTGGGAGGATTTTGCATCGCTGTCCTGTTTAACTCAGAACGGCCTTGTGTCCTGCTTTTGTCAATTCCATGTGGGTATAAGCCCTAAAAACCAGCTTGTCACCATCTTACTCTTTCTCACTCTCCATGAGATGAAAAACATCCCAGATTGGGCCTGCTCCATGTGTCAGGGTCCCAGAGTGAAGATGACATGAAACAGATGCACGACCTATCCCTGATATACAGTGTGAGTGGGCAATAAAACTGTTGTTGGGGCCGGCCCGGTGGTGCACTGGATAAGTGCGCCGCTTGGGAAGCGCAGCGGCGCTCCCGCCCGAGGGTTCGGATCCCACATACAGACCAGTTCCCGCTCACTGGCTGAGCGAGGCGCGGGGGCAAGGCCGAGAGTTGCAATCCCGTTGCCGGTCCCCGGTTCGGTACGGGGGCAACACTGAGGGTTGCGATCCGTTGCCAGACACAGAAAAAGACAAAAGACAAATAAATAAATAAATAAATAAATAAAATAAAATAAAACAGTTGTTGCAAGCCATTGAGATTGTTGAGTAGTTTCCTACTGCATCATAATCTATTCTATCCTATTTTCTACTTAGTCACATACTAGGACCTATGACTTGGCTGAGGGAGTTATTACCTCTTTTGTTACCAGCCATTTTCATTATAATGTTATTACCACCTAATCTTCCTGAGAAAAGTTATATACTTGGACCTCTGACCAGTTGTCAAATTATATTAAGTGAAACAAGTCAGGCACAGAAAGAGAAATACCACATGTTCTCACTTATTTGTGGGAACTAAAAATAAATAAACACACAAATAAAGGGGGGTGGGGAAGAAGACACAACAATTACAACAATTCCTTGAACTTGTTAAGACAAGTGAACAGATATGACATAGTGGCGGGGAGAGAGGGAGGGGGAAAGAGGAACAGGTAGAGGGTCACGAAAATCAATTACAATGTACATTGAGAAGTTAAAATAAAAAACAAACAAAAAACAAAATAATTGATTTGACAACTATATATCCTACACTGAAGCAGTGATTTGCAAAAAAATTTGCAACCTTAACTTCATAGCAAGAGCAAAGACCCTTCTACAACAATTGATAACAAATTTCCACACGCTCCTCTCCCAAAGCCAATGAAAATAAATAGTAGTGAGACTACTCTTTCAGGGTATTAGTGACAGAAGCAGAATTAGCTTGCTAATTACATGCTCCCAACATGTAAATGAATCATGTTCAATGACAAAGTCATTGGTGGAAACTTTAAGGACATTTTCCTGCAACTCCATCCTATAAAAACATTTCTCTACTAATCATACTGTAAATCTTAATCATCCCTAGCAATAGTGTTCCTATTGGAATGTGTTCATGAATATCCAACTTGGGATATCAGGAATATACCTTTCTGCCCCCTTGCTGTGTAATCAGATATCTCCCATCCCTACCTTCTAGGCAGTGAAAGTGGGAGCCACCTCAGGTCCAGTCACAAAAGGTCGTTCCGAGGACCCAAGGAATTCATGATGTGGAAGGACTGGCAGCAGGACTTAAGGGAGCAAGAAGCATGATGAAGAGCAGTGGAAAGGCTGAGCTTCTTGCCAATAAGAGCGTACTTCAGAAAGTTCATGGAAAGATTTGTATTATCTTTCAATTCTATTTTTCCGTGAAGTTTTTGAAGAATGCACATTTAAGACTGCCACACCCACTGAGGACAATTTTTCATACTGAAATAGCTCTCCAATCACCTTCTATTTTCTCCCCACAGGTCCCCCCAAATGGTCTATTTCTTTCTCTTTTTACTCTTATTATGGTGCTTCTGACCAGAATTTCTCTTTCATGCTCTTCTGTGAAATAACGAATTTCTGACACAAGCTTTTTTTAACTCTTTAAGAGATACGCTGCTAACAATCAGCTTTAGGGCATGGGATAAAGAACATTTCTTCTATTAATTCCCTTTCATGTGTTCAACTTGTTCCTGAAGAGAAAGAAAAAGACACATGTAGATATTAATAGAAAAAAAGACACATGTAGATATTAAAAGAATCTTTCAACACACAAAGATTTGAAGTTACGTTCATCTACATTTCTGAAAAAAAGCCAGATGTGTAGACTCCTGGTCATGTTACCACATGAGCCAGGATAGAATTCCTTGAGTAATAGAAGAAAGAGCCTCTGAGCAAGCCCCCAGGACTGGGTCTGCTGCCATCAACCAGGGGTGGAGTTGAGGGAGCCACCAACAGTGTTGGGTGGTGAGAAAAAGCCACGAGTGTTGGGGGTAACAATGGCGAAAAAGCCACGAGTTTACGCTCTATTCCATTTTTTTGCCAGGTGCTGTCCAGCTACTGCTAACCTAGAAATAAATCAGGCCTAGGGTGGGAAGGAAAAGTATGGAAAGGGTGGTTAACGGGGCTTGTGCAGATACAGTTGGCTCCTTTTTCCTCTCCCCAAAAGTGGAAAAGTTCACATCTCCAGTTTCCCCTGCAGCTGGCGCACCCATGTGATACATCCTGGCCAATGAAACTTTAGGCAGAAGTTTACAAAGGGATTTCCGGGTACCTATCCTTTCCTTCCCCCTTTATGAAGCCCAAAGCTATGCGAGCTCTCTTTCAGTGAGCCATACAGTGCCTCACTAAAAGAGCCAGAGATCACCAGCGTCTGAGAAACATAAGGAAAAGCCAGAGAAACTCAAATTAACCTGACATTTTTGGCTAAACCAATGCTGTGGACTGAATTGTGTCTCTCGAAGCTCCATGTATTAGAATATTAACCCCCACTGTGACAGTGTTAAGAGGGTGGGAAATCCTATTATGGTAATTGAAAGGTGGGGCCTTGAGGTATTAGATTGTGAGGACTATTCCCTAGTGAATGGATTAATCCATTGATAGTTTAATGGTGGTCATGGGCATGGTTCTGATGGCTTTAAAAGGAGAGCACATGAGAAGCTTGCTCTCTCTCTCTGCTCCTGCTATTTCACCACGTAACACCCTGCACGGTTATAGAGCCACCAACAAGGCAGATGTGTTCCCTGGATTTTGGACTTCCCAGCCTCTGAAACTGTAAGAAATAAATCTTATTTTTTATAAATTGCCCAGTTTCGGGTATTCTAAGTAACAGAAACAGACTAATGCAACCAGTAATCTCCAAATTCTGCCTATATGAGAAAAATAAACTTTTGTTCATTTATTGTTTTAATTACTTTCTTTTCATACACAGTAGTCACAGGCAATAGGTGATGGAAAAACAAATAGGAGGAGGAGGTAAAGGAAATGACAAGCAGTGCCAAAGGGGAGAAGGGAGGACAATTTCTGTAGCAACTTGTTTGGCCCAGATAGCTAGTTATAATATAAAGGACTACCTATATTAATTGTTAAAATAGTACTAAAGAATAAAAATAATATTAGCCCACAAGGGTAAAAAGAATGAAAGATGAGACATTAAGGGATGAGAGCTTTAAACAAATTTCTGGAAATGGTGTTAATTATTTAGCAAAGGAAAGAAAGCTGTATTGAAGTTTAGAACTTCCACAGGAAGCAAATAAATTTATTACTAACAGGGTGATCATTTGGAAACACCAGTTACTAAAAGAATGAGTGAGAACAAGGGTATTTGTTAAAAGTCTACATGGTGGAGAAGAGAAGACCTAAATTTGGAGTTCCACATCTCCATCATCGCTCTACACAGTGAGGAAGCCACCTCTCCCAACCATTTTGCCTCTCCCTGGTGACACCTAACTCTGAAACTCTGAACCTGGAAACCCAGGTTAAGTGGAAACCTGTGGTGACATCAGGTCTGGTAGCCTGAAGATTGGTTCAGAAACTATAATATAAACTCATGGACCTTTGGCCACTTTGTAAGCACTCTAGCAGGCTGCATATATTCCCCTCATCCCTTCCCTCACACCTCAGCTCCCACTCTAAGCAGATGATTCATTGATTCGTCTCTAGAGATCCAAAAGGTCCTCCCTTCAACCCTATTCCTTTCTCAAATAAAACATTTCCAGATACTGCCATTCCTCAATTTCAAATCTGAATATATAGCCAAGAGTTGCCAATCACTTAAGGAAGGTCTTCAGTCCAAAAGAATGGATGAAACCAAATGAACTTTCAAAGATTAAATAAGGCAATGTAACCTTTGGGGATTCATTAAAAACAGGTCTCAAGGTTAGCTCCATCCCAGCAACCACCCTCTCACTCCCACCACAGAAAAGCAAAAACAAAAATCCAACAATGTCAAGGTCAGCAGAGCCCTTTGAAGCAAGGAAAGAGGAAGTGATGGCAAGAGCACAGCCTTAATAATCACCAGGGAAAGTCCCTGAGTATCTGGGAGGCTGTAAAAGGAAGCATGAAGTGAGGACTTGGGATCCAGTGAATGAATCTGGTGAGTTGGGGCTTAAAGTCAGAGAAATCCTCATTTTCACTGCAGTTACTCATACCCCTGCCTCTCCTCCCCCATTTAGTAGGACCAAAGCAGGGGTAGCAGAAATGCCCCCTCTGCCCCACCCTGGAAACACACATACATATAATCTACTAGTCACTTGGCAGAACCTCATAAGTCATAGCTCTATAGCTCATTGTCCAAAAAGTACAGTCTAACAAGAAAAAAAAAAATCTACCTGTAATTGCCAGTATTCCAGCTGAGACAATAGCTTTAACATATCTGTGCTTTGTTGTTTTTGAAAAGAAACAAATGTTGAATGCTGCCTTGAACCTAAGTCCTGATGCTTGATATTAACAATAATAAAAATACTAAGACATTAACTTTAAGAAAAANGGTATTAGATTGTGAGGACTATTCCCTAGTGAATGGATTAATCCATTGATAGTTTAATGGTGGTCATGGGCATGGTTCTGATGGCTTTAAAAGGAGAGCACATGAGAAGCTTGCTCTCTCTCTCTGCTCCTGCTATTTCACCACGTAACACCCTGCACGGTTATAGAGCCACCAACAAGGCAGATGTGTTCCCTGGATTTTGGACTTCCCAGCCTCTGAAACTGTAAGAAATAAATCTTATTTTTTATAAATTGCCCAGTTTCGGGTATTCTAAGTAACAGAAACAGACTAATGCAACCAGTAATCTCCAAATTCTGCCTATATGAGAAAAATAAACTTTTGTTCATTTATTGTTTTAATTACTTTCTTTTCATACACAGTAGTCACAGGCAATAGGTGATGGAAAAACAAATAGGAGGAGGAGGTAAAGGAAATGACAAGCAGTGCCAAAGGGGAGAAGGGAGGACAATTTCTGTAGCAACTTGTTTGGCCCAGATAGCTAGTTATAATATAAAGGACTACCTATATTAATTTATAGCCAAGCACATAATACTAATACAAATACAGCAAAAGTCTACCTTTAGGGGAAAAAATAGAAAATGGAGTAGAAGTTTCCTCCACATATTTTGAATATGATACAGACTCCCACCTAAAAATTTTTCATGTAATTGTTGAAATGTTTAGTTTTGTTATTTCCCTAAGATACCTATGATCTGCATAAAATGCTTACATTTACTTTGCACGGTTATGTGAACATTCAGTCATTAAAAAATATGGAAAACAATTCAGATTTAATTCTTTCATTTGCTTAAAAAACAGAGAGTCTACATGTTGGGGTAGGCTTAAAAAACAGAGAGTCTACATATTGGGGTAGGCTTAAAAAACAGAAAGTCCACATGTTGGGGTAGGAATTTGATTTGCATCAGCACCCATTGCCACCCAATCCTGCTCTATGCTGCAGCTTCTCAGTCTTCCAGAGAGAAAACAGACTCTCAAACAAAAAAGAGGAATCAACTTGACCCCTAGCTGCTGAGGGGGAGGTAGTTCGTAGAAAATCCCCTATACAGAGGGGAGATTAAGGTGACCGGGACACCGATTAATGGTTGGTAGGTGACAAAGCTTTTGAGTGAAATACATGGTGTTATTCTTGAAATATCCTCTTAGTCAGTCAGTGAGGATCTTGTTCAGGTCAAAGAAGCTGCTGATTCAAAGATTAAATAAGGCAATGTAACCTTTGGGGATTTATTAAAAACAGGTCTCAAGGTTAGCTCCATCCCAGCAACCACCCTCTCACTCCCACCACAGAAAAGCAAAAACAAAAATCCAACAATGTCAAGGTCAGCAGAGCCCTTTGAAGCAAGGAAAGAGGAAGTGATGGCAAGAGCACAGCCTTAATAATCACCAGGGAAAGTCCCTGAGTATCTGGGAGGCTGTAAAAGGAAGCATGAAGTGAGGACTTGGGATCCAGTGAATGAATCTGGTGAGTTGGGGCTTAAAGTCAGAGAGATCCTCATTTTCACTGCAGTTACTCATACCCCTGCCTCTCCTCCCCCATTTAGTAGGACCAAAGCAGGGGTAGCAGAAATGCCCCCTCTGCCCCACCCTGGAAACACACATACATATAATCTACTAGTCACTTGGCAGAACCTCATAAGTCATAGCTCTATAGCTCATTGTCCAAAAAGTACAGTCTAACAAGAAAAAAAAAAATCTACCTGTAATTGCCAGTATTCCAGCTGAGACAATAGCTTTAACATATCTGTGCTTTGTTGTTTTTGAAAAGAAACAAATGTTGAATGCTGCCTTGAACCTAAGTCCTGATGCTTGATATTAACAATAATAAAAATACTAAGACATTAACTTTAAGAAAAAGTTCATTCACAACTAATTTCCATAAGTATATCATTATCAGACTAATACAGTTCTGTCTCAATGTTTAGGGAGAGTATTTCCAAAGAGCTTCTAGGCAGGTAACCTCATGGAAAGCATGACATGAAAAAGACCAATGTCAAATGTAATATACTAGTAAAAGCCAGATGACTTTGAAAAGGGAACACTTGCTGCTGTGGACACAGGCTCCATTCTGATACCTGGCAATAGCTACTATATGCTGTTGGTTCCAAAATAACAGGTCAGTGACTAAATGTTGTTTGTCACAACCACTGGAAAATAATTTGATCAGTAGCACTGTCTTCATTCACTCATACATCTGACAAATATTTCCTGAGTTTACCATGAGCCAGATTCTGTTACAGGCACTGGGGAGTACACCAATGAACAAAACAAGCAAAACTCCCTGCCCTCATGAAACTTATATTCCAGTTGAAGAAGACAGACATTAAGCAAAATACATAGTTTATTCATTGGTGAGAAGTGCAATGGAGAATAAAATAGGAAAAGAACATAGGATGGAGGCTGCAATGCAGGTTTTCATTTTAAAAAGAGTGGTCAAAGAAAGCCTCACTGAGATGATATTTGAGCAAAGATGAGTGAAGTAGGTCAGGAGTGAGCCATGTGGATATCTGAAGACAGAAAGGTCCAGAAACAGTGACTGGTTAAGTGCAAAGGTCCTAAGTTAGAAGACCTGATGGGTCCACAAACAGCAAGGAAGTTGGTTTGGCTGGAGAGCAACAAGTGAAGGAGAGAATTGTAGGAGGTGAAGTCAGAGGGTAATAGTGGGATCAGATCATCTTGAAGTAAACCGTAAAGGCTTGGCTTTTACTCTCAGTGACTCTCAGAGCCACTGGATGGTTTAGAGCTGGGAATGCTGTGACCTAACTTACCTTTTAACTGGATCACTCTGGCTTCCCCCCTCCCACCAAATGGCAGAAGGGCAAGGGCAGAAGCAGGAAGACCAGTTGGGAGGCTGCTACAATAATCCAGGCAGGAGATGCCACCAACTAGAAACAGGGTGATAGCAATGAAATATTAAGAAGTGGTTGGAATCCAGACGTATTCTAAAGATAGGTTTTGCTAATGGATTAGAGATGAGATATGAAAGAAAGGAAGCAGTCAAGATTACTCCAAGGTTTTGGGCCTGGGCAACTGGAATGATGGTGTTACCATTAAGACAATGGAAGGCTACTGAGGAAGAATCAGTTTCGGGGGGGAAGATTGAGAGTTGTTTTGGAACCCAATACATGATTGAATTTGTGGATCTGGAGTTCAGGGGAGAGGTGTGGACTGGAGATATAAATTCTGAAGCTGTCAATATATGCATGGCTTGTAAAGCTATGAGACTGGATAACATAGAACGGAAAGGATTAAAGGACCTAGTTGTGGGCACTCCAAGATTAACAAATCAGGGCCATAAGGAGTGTGTGAGTTTTCAAGACAAAATTTATGAGCTTCTCCGAACTTAGGGTCAGATTTTTAATCCTTTTTCTATCTTCAGAGCCTAGCCCAGTGCCTGGGACATTGTGGTTGGCAAACAAACAGAGGGATAATTCAATAAAGCACCAGCTACTGAGAAAATAGCAATGAACGGATGTAAATTACTGACACGTATAGTCTAGTAAGCAAGCAAAGGAGTATAACCGGTGGCAAAAATCAAAAATTAACGTCGAAATGGCTTTCCCAGGAACCTATAACTTCCAACCTAACGTATACGAGAGGAAAATCGTACTGAGTCTTAAATGGAGGCCTCGGTGGCTAGCTTCCCTACTTCAGCTGGAGCCAGGCCAATGCAAACTTAGCTCCTTAAAGGTTTTCATCGGCATCCGATGCAGAAGCGCCATAAATCAGGGCCTCGAGGTTCAGGGAGCGAGACGGGACTCCTCCCGTGAGAGGAGAGAGCGGCAAGGAGTGGTGATGGTGGCCTTATCTGAGCCTCTGACTCTCCCCCGAGGGCCCCGCGACTCCGACCCCGGTTCAACAGCCCAGCGCCCGGCAGCCTCACCCCACAGTCCGTCTGTCCGCCTGTAGCTCTGTCCGGCTGCAGGCAGGCCGGTTTCCATGGAACTAAGACAGCGCTTTAAAGCAACCCGCTCCCGGGTGCGGTAGCTCCTGTACGCAGGCGCACCCGTAGAGGAGCATGCCGGGAATTGCAGTTTTCCCGGCCCAGGAGGGGCCCTCCGCCTGGGGCGGGACCCAGGCCGGAATCCGGCGGCGCGCAGGGAACGCGCAGCCGCGTGACCTGGATGACGACAGGCTCCATTGTGTACGCCGCGGGGCACGCCGGGATGTGTAGTTTCCCTCTACTCACCTACCGGAAGTCCTGTTCTGAATACTTTGCAGTTACTTGACTCCGCTTGGTGAACGTGGGGTGTTTGGCTAATCTTGGCAAACACATACCCTGCAGCAGGTGAGAATCCAAGATTAGAACATGTTTTTAGTTGCAGGAGGACTAAAGTATCAAGTAACTTCTGAGTGATAGGAAAATAACAGATCTTGTTAATGAGCATAAAAAATGGTAAACATTCAGAGCTCAAACATTTTTGTTAAAGGAAAAACCAAGTCCCTCTTCGTCCTCGTTCACGATGGCCAGATGGAGAGCCAAACACACAAAATCTGCTCTCTTGTCTTTTGTCTCTTCAGCGTAAATTATTTCTTGCCTTGTTGACAGATAACTGAATTTCTAAATCCAAGCCTAAGCCGTTAAGCGAGAAAGAGCATTGAGAGTAATAAAGCTGCAGCCGTTCCTGAGTCGTTTTGCTTCAAGAGTACGAATTCGCACTTAATGAAAAGGCTTCGACAGTGGAAAGACAACAGGGCTTCACGTTTTTGTAGCTGGATAGAACACCTGTTACCGTAGCTAGGGCAATGAATGGATTTCTCTCTTCTCCCTAAGGGCACAGCCAAGAATCACTTCAGCCCTCTAATAAATGCAGTTAGATCCGAGGTGAGTCCTCATTTACTTAGCAAGTGCTTCACTGGATTGATCTGGCTATCCTGATTCTTCTGATAGCCGAGCCTTCACGTGAGATGGGAATGCCCATCAAACCACAGCTGTATTCATCAAACCGTGAGCCGTTCCAGTGAAAGAGAAATGAGCACGCATGCATTATTCAGGCGAAGGGACCAAATACAGCTTTTAATATGGAAAGTGGGAATGTACTTTAAAGCGTCAGTGCAAAGAGCCAGTTATTTTCGGTATCAGCGTTTTCTTTTGCAATGACCTGCTTTATCTGCGGAATTAAGAGATGAAGGATATGTGTATGCACTTCACAGATAATCTGCATGTTTCAGTGTAATGAGAGTTTTCATCTCAAGTCTCTGTATTAAGCAGCACTCAGGGAGCCAAACTGATTAAATTTAGTGTTTTTCATTTCTTTTCTCCTATCCACCATCTGGCAAACCGTATAAGAACTTAAGCCAAGCATTTACAAAGCTAGAGAGAGGAATCTGAAGTCTTCAATAAACTAATTCATCTGCCAGAGAAACAGTCTCTGGATACATGAGATATTATATTCAAAGTCTATTTTTTTTTCCTTTTACGTGCTTGAATACATTAATTTTTTTTTCTGATTTTTTCTCTTGATTTTCAATTGATAAATAATTTTCAAATATGTTGGCTTTGTTCATAAAACACAGTAATTTCTTCCATGGAAATTCTAGAGATTCCATGAGGACCACATTTTTCTCACTATAATATTACAATAGCCTCCTAACTGGTTTTCCTGTCACCCTTTCCAATGCATCCTTCATACGACTCCTAGAATAATCTTTTAAAAAAGCAAATATGATTCTCTTAGCCCCTTGCTTAAAAACATTTGATAGTTCCCCCCATTGAAGTAATAGTTCTCATCGAAGAGGATGAAAACCAAACTACTAATGGTGTCAGCCTAATCCACCAGCCTTCTCTGAACCTAGTCCCCCAGTGGAGCCCTGAACTCACGCCTACCAGCAAAGCATGTCTTTGTGCTTGCATGAACTGCTCACTCTGCCAGGCATGCCCTTCCTCTAGTTTTGTCAGTCTGGTGAACTCAACAGTTGAATTGTGTCCCCCAAGTTTTATGTATTAGAAATTTAACTCTCACTGTGACTGTTGGGAAGGTAGGAAATCCTATTATGGTAACTGAAAGGTAGGACCTTCAAGAAGTGATTAGATTGTAGGACCATGCAGTAGTGAATGGATTAATAATGGTGGTGAGGGGCGTGGTTCTGAGGGCTTTAAAAGAAGAGCACATAAGAAATTCTCTCTCTCTGCTCCACCGTATTGAAATATGTTACCTTGAATTGCTGTAGTCACCACCAGGAAAAAGCCCTCACCTCATGTGTTCCCTGGACTTTGGACTTCCCAGCCTCAGAAACTGTAAGCAATAATTTTTTTTTTAAGGTTACGTTAGTTTATTTTTAAATTTATTTATTTTTCTACATTCTAAGTAAATTTTGTTTTCTTTACCAATAATCCACTTCCAAGTATATTGTTATAAGCAACAGAAGCGGACTAACACACCATTCTATTCCCTTCCAAAACACTTTATAATTGTCAGTGTATCTTTTCTCTTTTTAATTAGGCTGTCAGCTACCTGAGGACAGGAATTTGAGTAAATTTTGTTTTCTTTACCAATAATCCACTTCCAAGTATATTGTTATAAGCAACAGAAGGGACTAACACACCATTCTATTCCCTTCCAAAACACTTTATAATTGTCAGTGTATCTTTTCTCTTTTTAATTAAGCTGTCAGCTACCTGAGGACAGGAATTTGGGTCTTTTTATTTTCAGCCCCAAGTACAATGCCTGGCACACAGTAGGGGCTTGGTAAGTCCTTGTTAAGTGAATGATTTAATGAATAAATTTTGAACACTTCTACTGATAGGGGCTATGTTTCACTCTCTTACTATATATTCCATTTGGAGGTCAGAAAAAGGCATCTGCTTTCTGTCAGAGCTGCCAATGATTTAACATTGCAGTTACACAACTAACAGCAAAGTTAACCTGCAACCACTTCCCCTTGGAGTTGGAAATGTACTCTGTGGACAAAGGGATGCAAACACAAAAAATCGAAGTTTTCATACCTTGTTGGTACAATGGAAGAATAAGAATGACAAATCTACTAACCAATTCCTCACTTTATGTGGGAAATCCAGGTCCTTTGTTAAAATATTGGCTCTGGATATAGAGATGAGGAATTGGAGGAGACTTTTTAGTGAACTGGTGAATCAGTCCAAGGCTGTGAAGATAGATCTGTTAATTGAATTGGCAAAGGATAACAATGCTTCTAATAAGGTCTCTGTCACTTAGCTCCACCAACTAAATTTTGTGGCCAGGTAGATTTTCACCTTATTCTATTGACCAAACTTATGAATAATATCAAGGTTATAGTAATGTTGCTGGAGCTCTACTTCACATTTCCTGAGATTAAAGTATTCCTTTGGTCTTAAAAGGATGACACATAAGCAGCAAAAGGAAGAAGCAGGAATGTTCTTTAAATTGGCTCACACAGATCAGCTGCCTGATATTTCTGAAATTTTCTGATTGAATAATAACAATAAGTGTCTATCATCTACTGAATCTATCTATCGAATTGTGTGTTTTGTATATATTACCTCATGTGATCCAGACTGCAACTTTAAGATAATAGTAGTTATATTCCTATCTTACTGATAAGGTAACTGAGATTTGGGGAAGTTAAGTAACTGACCTAGGACTAAACAGCCAGTAAGTGACAGAATGGTTATTTAGACTTGGGTCTATCTGGCTTCAAAGCCTGTGCATTTCAATGAGATTCCTTCCCCTCCTGTTCTCCACCTCATTCTAACAACAGGAGTGGGGCAAGATGGAATTTCAGCATCTAACTATGAGATGAGAAATATATGAATTAACTTCACGCAATGGAATACTGTAGGCTTATAAAAGAAAATAAGGAAATCTAGGTGGCGGTATGTGGGTGTTTAATATGACATTCTTACAAATTTTCTGCATATCTAAAATTATTTTCATCATAAAAAATTGAAAAAGAAAATGAGAAAAGCTCTATGTATTTATATGGAGAGTTCTACAGGATATATTTTAAGTTGAAAAAGCAAGGTATTGTATAACCACAGAGGGGATAAGAATTTTGTATTTGTATAAGTAAGCACTGGGAGGATACACAAGAAACCAGTAAAAGTACCTTTTATTACCTGTGTAGATAGTCTGACTATATAATTTTTCATCCAAATGTAATTTTTACAAACTTTTTATCAAGATAACTTTAGATTTACAGAAGGGTTGCGAAAGTAGCACAGAAAGTTTCTATATGCCCTTCCCCCAGTTTCCACTAATGTTAACATCTCACATAATCATAGCACAGTTATCAAAACTAAGAAGTTAATGCTGATATAACACAATTAATTAAATGACAGACTTTTGGATTTCACCAGTTTGTCCACTAATGCCCTTTTTCTGTTCTGGGATGCAGTCCAGGATCCAACATTGCATTTACATGTCCTGTCTCCTTCTTCAGTCTTTCTGTGTCATTTATGACATTGAGATTTTTCCCAAAGAGAACTGGTCAATTATTTTTTAAGATGTCCCCAAACTTGGGTTTGTCTTAGTTAGGGGGTTATGCATTTGGGGAAGAATACTACAGAAGTGGTATTGTACTCTTCTTGGTGCATAATGTATCTGAGGGTACATGACGCTCATGTTTTATGACTGTTTCAGTTAACATTGATCATTTACGGTGGTGTCTACTAGCTTTTTCCAGCATGATGTTACTATTTTCCTCTCTATAATAAATATTGAGAGATACTTTGAGGCTATGCAATTATTCTATTTCTCCTTAAACTTTTACCCACTAATTTTAGCTGGTACATCTTGCCAGAAGCAGTTATTATTATGGGGTGCTAATTGTGACTTTCTATTTTCTTCCTTTTTTTTCTGCATTTATTAATTGCAGTTATTCTGTAGGGAAGAGTTGTAACTTCTCCCCCATTTATTTATTTATTTATTTTAGAATGGACTTAAGTATATTTATTTTATTCTTTGGGTTATAATTTGATATTGTCATTATTTATTTTGTTGCTCAAATTGTTTCAGCCTTAGTCATTCAGAAACCATTAAATGTCCACTGTGTCCCTTCAACATGTGCGTCCCCTCTTCCTCTTTTAAAGACC